GCTTACACACACCTCTCACCTCTCATTAATCTCACGGAATAACTATTTTACCCTACTACATTTGATTGCTAAGGAAACAACACTAATTCCTAGGTAGGTAACCATTATTACGAAGTTTTAACTCATTCATTTTAAGTTCTTTTTTACTTATCTAGACCCTTTTGGGCCAATGAGACAATACGTGATGATTAAAATCAATGGATTCTTGATTCGACTTTCTTATATTATTTTCTTAATTTATCTACATTCTTAGGTACGAGGATCTGTCATTTACATGAAAATAATTTATCATGTCCATCATTAAATATAAATTTAAAAAATATTCAAGTGATTACCACTCAATCCTTATCGTTTACTTATCACTTTTGAATTTTCAACCATTAAAAAGGGAAATGAAAAAAAAACAGAGAGATTTTTTTCTTTTTAATTATGTGCCGACGGTCCTAAGTCCTCAAGTATTGTTGGTAAATTGTGAACTCCGTCTTTTCTTATCGACTCTGAATTAAAAAGAAACTCAACCATAAAAACGTCCGCCAGACACGTGTCAGATTATGAAGACTCCACGTTTTTTCTTTCAAAACCACAAATTTTCACTGTTTCGTTTCCCTCCAATTTCCTTCTCTTTCCTCGGCCTCGATGATCGCCGGTTCGGAACTTCCGCGCTGTGGCTCAACTTCTCTCTGCCGCGCCTCCGCCCCATCTTCCCGTTCAAACTACCGGCGACTGAAACTGCTCTTCCAGTTCCCTTCCCTGTCCTTAATCCGGACAAAAATGGCCTCTACCCCCTCGAATTCTGTCCAGTCGGGTCGGATTAGGGTTTTGAAAGATGGAACCGGATGTCTTGACCGACCCGTGGGTCCAGTGGTGTACTGGATGTTCAGGGATCAACGGGTGAAGGACAATTGGGCGTTGATTCACGCCGTTGATGAGGCCAACAAAGCCAATGTTCCTGTTGCTGTAGCGTTCAATTTGTTCGATCGATTTTTGGGGGCAAAGTCTCGGCAATTAGGGTTTATGCTGAGGGGTCTGCAAAAACTGCAACATGATCTTGAAGAAACGCTTCAAATACCATTCTTCTTGTTCCAGGCGAGTTAATTTGCTGTAAATTCTTAGGTACTTGTGTTATTTGTTCTTGTTATCCCGTACTATAGAACCAGGGGAAAGCGTAAATATTAATTTAGTTTAAATTCTTAAGAGTACATTAGTGCAGCTGTTGGTGCTGTTACTGCATTTTAATGAAATGAATTAAGTGGGGGTTGTACATGCTAGTTCTTGGTTTTGGGTTTTATCTCCATTGCTTCAGTTTGTACCTTTGATTTCTTTGAAATTTTACTAGGAAGATGGGTTTATCATGTCTAGTTGGAGGTGCAACTAGGAGATGGCATTATTTAGTCAATTTTACTTTCCAGTATTGTGTTGGCAATGAAATGAAAGTATACACTCATAGTTTTCTGGTTTCGCATTCTTAGGGGGAAGCTGAACAGACTATACCAAATTTCATGAGAGAATGTAGGGCTTCACTTTTAGTTACTGACTTCTCACCCTTACGAGAAGTTCGGAAGTGTAAAGAGGAAATTTGTAAGAGGGTAGATGATTCAGTTAAAGTACATGAAGTTGATGCCCACAATGTGGTACCCATTTGGGCTGCATCCGAGAAATTGGAGTACAGTGCAAAAACTTTAAGGGGCAAGATAAATAAAAAGCTCCCGGAATACCTTATCGATTTCCCTGTTCTGCTCATTCCAACTAGAAAATGGCCTTCCACTGATAAGTTTATTGATTGGAATATCCTTATCACTGATGTCTTGAGGTCAGAGCATTATTATTATTATTATTATTAGTTTGCCTTCTATGACTTCAAATTTGTTTGAGTTGACATTTTGTGATACCAGGAAAGGAGCAGATGTTCCTGAAATTGAATGGTGTGAACCCGGGGAAAAGGCTGCCATGGAAGTATTGATGGGTAGTAAAGATGGGTTTTTGACTAAGAGGTTGAAGAGCTATGCAGTAGATAGGAACAATCCATTAAAACCTAGGGGCCTCTCCGGTCTCTCTCCATATTTGCATTTTGGCCAAATATCTGCACAACGTTGTGCCATAGAAGCACGTAATGTACAAAAACTCAATCCACAGGTAATGTAAAGGAAAATTTTGGTTGCTCTTTTTTGTTTTAATCAAATACTAATGCAGCAAATAACAGTATGGAAGTATTGATTTGATATTGCTTTTAATATTCTATCTTATGCGAATCAGTTTTTTGCACCTTTTTCAGCCATTAGTTTATTTTATCTGATTACTGCTGTATTTTTTCTTTGACATTGTATTTTGAAGGCAGTTGATGTGTTTCTTGAGGAGTTAATTGTTAGAAGGGAACTTGCTGACAATTACTGCTACTATCAACCGCGTTACGATTCTCTGCTTGGGGCTTGGGAATGGGCACGCAAAACCTTGATGGACCATGCATCCGATAAGCGAGAATATGTTTACACGTAGGTGGGCTTTTGCTGTAATTGGGATAGTTGGTGTTTAAACCCACTTGTAATTGGTGTTGAAATTATGCTGTTGAATTTTCAGGAGGGAGCAATTGGAGAAGGCGCAGACATCAGATCCAGTTAATATATGAACTGATAGAATTAATGTCTTTCCAGTATCCATTGCTTCTTTCATTCTTTGCGAAAACTCCTATAATTATCTGTTAACACTTTTCAGCTCTGGAATGCTTCTCAATTGGAGATGGTTTTCCATGGAAAGATGCATGGTTTTATGAGGTTAGTATTAATGCATTGATGATCAATTGGAGAAGTGTGTGGCTTTAGTTGTAGATTCCACTTTTTTTTTTTTGGTAAAGGGCTAAAGATCCTTCTTTGATGAATTCTTGTGCTCTAACACTTGTAGATTTTAACTATATTGGCTACTGTCAAAAAAGATAAGTGAAAATATATGGCTTATTGTATTTCTTCTCGTTAAACTTTCCAGGCACAGTTTACCTTTCACATTTTCTATCAGTATCGCCCTAAACTCGCTGGTGTATGTTTTATGATTTTTTAAACCTTTTGGTTTCCATACGGAGATTCTTTATTCACTTTTACATCATAACAGCAGATGATATAACAGTGAATTGTGTCAAGTTTATTTACAATTTCCGCTTGATAATATGATATTTCAATTGAAATTCAAACTATATATATCAAGCTCTGCAGCTTTAGCTTGAAATATTGGAGTTTTCTTTGTCTCTCTATCTCTCTTTCCCTTGACAATAATTTTCTGCTCTTAAAGTCCTGGAATGTCATAATAGAGTTCATATATTCAGGATGTACTGGGCCAAAAAAATTTTGGAGTGGACAAAAGGACCTGAGGAAGCCCTGGAAATTTGCATATACTTGAATGACAAGGTATGTTATTACTCTGATCTACACTTATGCTTGAATGAAAAGGTATCTTATTACTATGATCTACACTTATGTATGTTGGTTCTATTGCTGTGAAAATTCCTAATCAAGAACCGGAAATGCAGTATGAAATTGATGGGAGGGATCCAAACGGATATGTTGGTTGCATGTGGTCAATCTGTGGCGTTCACGACCAGGTTTATCATCATTCTCATTTATGATTACCTTCTCTTCTTGATAGATAATCCAAGTTGCTGTTATTTTCTCGCTTTTTCCTTCTTTTCTCCTAAGAATTTGCTTACGGAACAAATTACAAATAACATACGTGTCAAGTTTGCTTATTTTCATCAGTCATGCACATGTTGATATGCTTTTCGAAGTCAGTTTCTTTAGTGGCAACTTTGTTATTTTTTGAGTTCAATCATGGATATTTGATTTTATAGCATCAATTTTTGTATGTTTTCTCTTTTCTGGACATTTCAGGGTTGGAAAGAACGACCGATATTCGGGAAGATACGATACATGAACTTTGCTGGGTGCAAGAGAAAATTCGATGTTGATGGCTACATTGCCTACGTCAAGAGGCTTGTGGGTGGAATCAAGAAAAGAAAACCAGAGGAGGCCCTGCAGGATAGAAAGCCAAAGGAAATTCGTTGCTAGTTAATGTGAATTTCAGAGGCTGCAAAGCTTAGCGCAGTAATGATATAGTTTGATGAAGAGAAAAAGATCTTTGTTTTGCAGTACTATGACTCTCAAGCTCTGAACTTTGTAATTTGTAAGCCACATTTGTTTAAATCCACCAACTAACTTCATGAATTTGTTCGTAAATATAAATCTTTGATTGATCTGCCATGTCTGAAAACTAACTTCGCTGTTTTGCTGATGAATCCATTCTGCTGGGAAGAATAATTCCATCCATTTGCAACGCCTAATCAAGTAAACAGTACCAAGTCAATTTTCTTTCCATTTCCTCATTCCCCAACTTTTATGGGCTTTTTTTTTTTTTTTTTCCTGTTTTCGTTTCGTTGGTAACCATCAAGAGTGGAGCAAAGCGAAGGAGGGACACAGTTACCTCTTTTTCCTAAAAGCTAGTGTAAAATTTTGCCCCCTTATGAAACTTTCTAGCTCTACCCTTGCCTCTGGAGATATTATGGTGCAATGGGTATGAATGGCAAGTTACAGTTCGAACCGAATCTTCTCCATTAAGAAATGTTACAGTATACAGATGTAAAACATGTTACATTATGCAATCAATATGGACAGCTTCACTGCTAACAGTTCATCACAAGATCATGACACGAAACTAGCAATAAGACTAGGCTGAAAGAGCCAAAAACAAAAAAATCGGAGAACAGACTGATTACAAAGCACCAACGAGCATATCGAGGGCACACCAGAGGGAGGCTGGCAGTCATATCTGGAGATCATCCAATGAGAGCTCTTCTGCAGTCAACATCTTAAGTTTCTGGACCAGTTAAATACAATATTTATGAGAAATGGATGGAAGAAAACAAGTAAAATTTAGATATATAACAAGGTAGAAGCTAAATACCGTAATAAATTGTGGAGGGTCATCAATACTTGTTGAACCTAAAACTACTTCTCTCTTCAACTTCGCTGAAAGCTTGTGACAAACTCTAAGCTGTAGGTAAAAACGACATAATTCATATAACCAGATAACTAACCAAACGGATGCAAACATGATGATCTTTTCGAGTTACATAAGAAAAATGCCAATTACCTCGGACCTAGTTGCTCCACCTACAATAAATACAAATATACGCTGGCCCATCTTCTTGAAATCACTAGATGCATGCCTGAGTACCGAATCGCTGTCCAACAAAGGATTGTTAGACCAACAACTAAGTATAAAGGAAATATACCGGGAGAAAGAATCCTAATCTCTTAGATTGTTGCAGTTTCAGGTCTGAGTTACTTAAATCTACAGGTAATCATAAGCATTAATTATTCAATAATGGAAACTAGAAAGGAAGTTGAATGTCATCTCAACATGCCCTATGTACAAAATAAATAAATGAAAATGAAAATAAATAAATAAATAAAGCACCTTGAGTACCCATCATCTGAATTACGAGGTCGGGCCCATGTTGGGGTTCGTCTTGATCTCATTGAATGAGCAGCTGGAGGTTGCTGAACTGCTGCTGTATGAGATGATCCATGGTAAGTTGGACTGGGGTCATTTAGACATGGATAATCATCCTTGGATAATTCCCCCTTGCTAAGTTTTTCAACTAGTTCCTGAAAATTAGGTTGGGTCAACAATAACATTGTGAATTTGTATAGGTTTCAAGAAAGGTAAATACCTCGAAAGCCATTGGCTTTGGAGGACATGGCATCCCCAGCTCAAAATGATCCCACTAATTATGACCAAAGGGTACGTTATGCATCTCCCTGATTATATTGAATTTCAGATATTTGGTCCAACAAGAAATCCAATGTTTCTTTTAATTGTGAAGCAACATCGACAAAGCATTGCTTTTTGAAAAAGCCATAAAAGGTATGGTTGATGGTCTATGGTATCTTAATTATAAGGAGGGATTTAATGCCACCTGCTCAGTAGTTCATAAAGAAAACTGAATGAGTGGGTCTCTGAGTCCTATATAACCAATGCATGTGTTAAATCACTGCTACACTCAAGAGCTTAACCAGATAGTTATGCAAAGTTCTGTCATTAACTCTTTAACACTCTTCCTCTTTCATGTGTGAGTTTGAATTTAACACGAAGCCTGCTTTCCCATTGACTATTAATATGTATCAAGTGAAAGGAAATAACATTATCAAATTTTGTATTTGAAATCAAACCTACTACAATATCAATACTTAATCGCTACTACATCATCAAAAGGTTTAAGCCAATAGGTTAGAGCAAGGCCGCTTCTATACAATGGCTGTCCAATCATATCTTACACCAATGAAACCTATTAATAACTGCATATATAGATTGAATTGAACAAATAAGTTAGACCATGGATATCTTATACCTCGATGATGGGATAAAACTGTGATAACTGCCACCCTCCTTCTCCATTTTGTTGTTTCCTAACTGCACGCTTCTTCTGATAACAAAAGAAATTGTCAGACATTAAACAAATAAATTAAAGGAGCTAAAGATAAACACTTTTACCTTATGAATATCAAACTTCAAAGAAAATGACCCTGCAGAGCTTTTTTTGGTATCAGGTGCACCACCAAGTAATCTCATGTTGCTAACAGCATTCATATCCTCGGGTGGTAGTTTTGCTAACTGCCAAGCATTAAACTTTGTCAAGTTGCGGTCCATGGAGAATAAACAATTGCAATATCGTCACAAATCAATCTTAAAAAAACAATAATAATAATTAAATTCAACAGCCAGGTTATGTTTTATCCTTTTTGGGTGGGGGCAAACTACTAACCTTCATTAAATTTTGACCTTTCTCACCCTCAAATTTCTCAGGATAAATGGCTGCAAGAATCATCAATAATCGCAACTTATTTTCACGACTTGCATCCTGCAAAGATGTTTTATGTAGTTTCATATCTCTGTTTGACATGTACTTAGAACATTAACATAATTCCAGTAATCACCTCATTAGTCGTCAAATATTTTATTACATCTTTCGTTCCTGCATCTCCAAAAACAAGATCCTGCTCAATTTGTCCTAGTTCTCTAAGCCCCTGATCCTTGATAATCTTGTTTAGTTTTACCGCAATCTGAATAAATAAACTCAAAGTCAGTTGCTAAAAAATCTTCAGAAGTTTTTGTGAACTCTTCTGGATATCGAACATATTGCTGAGAGGGAATGAACTTTCTGGAACATTTTTCCAGTTCCTAAAGTTGCTTCACGCAGCAAACTTCACAACCACAATGCAAAGTCAAACCTGATTAATTAAAAAACATTCTCTTCTCCCATCCATCTATAAGCTAAAATTGTTTGCTCCAGGGAGGGGAAAAATAAAGAGTTTTTCTACAAGAAACTAACCTCGACATGTAGGGAGAGCTTGTCAATTTGTTCACTATATTGTGGCAATGCTTGAACCATCTTTTGCAGATCCCGTGTGGAGAGTTCACTACTATTTCTATACCACAGCAGAAATATTTAGGTCAGAAAAGTGACATCATGGTAAAGTAGACCTGTTTCAAAACCGTATATCTAACATACTACAGGAAAATTACCTCACATAGGTACCTGATATGGAATAAAAGAAACCAGAGTTTGATGAGGAAAAAGGAGTCCTTTTTCTCCTTTTTATTCGTATGAGAAAGGAAATTTTTGAAAGGGAAAAGCATATAAATAAATAAGAGGCAAACAAGGCGTTCTTCCCATAACCCAGTAATTTGGCAAAATAATAATAATAATTATTATTATTTATTTCCAATTACCTTGTACCAGAAAAAATTATAATTATCAAAACAGCTTAATCAAAATAACCTATATTTTGTGGAGCTCCCAGTTTTCCAGTTGATTTGGGATCAGTTCTTGGGGATTTTTAGGGTGTCCTTGGCTTGTAATAAGGAGCGCAGAGCAATGGTGGAGGAGGCTTTACTTTGCCCCCTTCTCGGGATAGAGGGGCCTTGTTGTGGGAGGCATGTTTTTTTTTGCAGTTTTGTGGGGTATTTGGATCGAGAGAAATAGTAGAATTTTTCGGGACTGGAGAGGTCTTGGGAGGAAATTTAGGGGATCATTAGATTTAATACCTCTTCATGAGTGTCAGTTTCCAAGGCCTTTTGTAATTACCAGTTAGGTGATATTCTTTTGGATTAAGGTCCCTTCTTGCACGTGGTTCCCCTTTTGTTGGGCTTGTTTTTGGTACACCCTTTTTATATTCTTTCATGATTCTCAATGAAAGCTTGGTTTCCTAAAAACAAAATACCCATCATGCCAATAACAAATTTTATATATAACCTCTTCAACATGAAGCCAAAAGTTTTCAAAATTACACCTATTTCTTTCTAGCTATAGTTGTCAAACCATGGCACAGACCACCATGACCTGTCATCAAACCTTGACCTTGATTATGTAACCAACAAAAATTTAAATGAACCACTCTTGTAGACCCCTCGGACTACAGTGCCAACTAATTTTCAGAAAAGAAATACCAGATTATAAAGGCCAGCTTAGAATTTACAAACAAATGCTCTTGGGCTTCTCGTGCCATTGCACATGATGCTCGGCACCTATTAGGAAACAAAAATAATAAGAAAAGAATAAGGAAGTTTGGACTCCTCTCCTGGATTTAATCCACCATGGTCCCTTTTTCTTTTTATATAAATGGTATCGGTGGCTCCACTCCCACTAATCACCAGGAAGATGTTACATGCCCCGTTACCAGCTAGATTTTCATTTATTTAACTTTCCATCCTGAGGTTTGGATCCAAGACCTTGAAGAACTCTCTCTAAACATCCAAAATTCTTATCACCAAGGTTATTCACTATGTTAGTTTTACAATGAGAAAGTGTCCCAAAAAAAGATTCCAACACCAAATGCAGCTAGTTGATTTGACAAAACTTCAAGCCAATCTAGCAGAACTTTGAACATGGATTTACACAAGACATCCTGTCTTGTCAATCTTCCATATTCTACTATCTTGGGTATTTAAGAGCCTGATATAGCTGATAATCGAAGAGCTAAAAAGACACTATTTGATATCCCTCTCATTGAAGTTTCTTCTTAAGTTAAAAGTTTCACTTTTATTCATCTTCAATCTGCCACTTTTTATATGGCTTTTAGCAATGTGTATAATCTTGGAAAAGAGACTTTGATGGATCAAAGTCAACCTCAATATAGAAAGATCTTGCTTCCTTCACTTACGTAATTTGTCCTCCACTTCTTCCACAAGGGGGCCAAAAATCCAGAGATTTTAAAATACCAACACATGAGATGCATCATTGAGCTGCCGAAAACCCAAACTGGATAGCTACCGAGTTGTCTCATCAAAAGTTATAAATTAATTCCTGCAATAAAGCTATCGCAGATGTTTATAGTCCCGCCTTCACTTTCTAAAAGTTCGAGAATCTAGAGATATTTAGATGCCTATCTTGATGATTAGAGAAGAGTACTAGTGTATTAGCAAATGGTAAATAAGCAAGTAAAATTCCATTAATCCCTATTGGAAAGCCTTAGAGAGGATTTTAGTGAAGACATCAGCAAACACCAAAATAAGGAAAGGGGACAAGGGGATCTCCCTACCTTGACCCAAGGATTCAATAATAGATGAGAGCCTTCTGAAACATTAGGTAGAAATTTGAAGAATGTTTCCTAATAAAAAACAGTTTCTGTTATTTACGTTTTTCATCCATTAGATTGACACCTAATTCCCAAGTGTTCATACCAATACCATCAAGCAATTACCCCAAAAATCAAACTTAAAGCAAACACAACATCGCTGACCTTGATCCTTGTTGGATTTGTGCAGCCTTATTCTTAGATACGAAGTTGGTCATTTTCTCATGCAACCGCTCACTTGCCTGAAAAAGCCATTTATGATAAAGAAGCAAACAGAGAATAACGTCCAAAAGAGTTCAATAAGCACAAGGCATACATCTGCAATGTGTGCATGGCGAAGCTCAAGCCAAACTGGATCGTGGTCTTCCAAAAGAACCTCTTTCTTCTCCGGTGGACCTCCAACTTTGCTTGGAATCTAAACGGTAAAATACCTTAATGCAAAGAGAGCCTCAAAAGAAAACACTCAAGGGAAACAAATAAAGAACTTGGAATGCTAGAACTTACCTCGTGAACATATTTATTCCCCTCCATGATAAGCAAATCACGACACATTGCATCATATGTCCATTCATGTATAACAGGAGCAATCTAGGGAAAAGTTAAACATCCACACTATAAACCAAACCAAAAGAAAAAAGAAGATGCTAAATCACAAGTGTTTTATACACTAAAGTAGCCAAAAGATTTAAGTTATATACCTGATCTATAGATCGATCAAGAATCAGCAACTCACATGTTTCTGACTGAGGAAAATTGGGGATTGTTTTCTTATATTTTGTTATACAGTCATAGACACCAGCAGCAACTTTTGTAGGAATGAGGTCACGTAAAGTCGTCATCGTAGTTGCATCAAGGGACTTGGCAGCTCGGTACCGAACAAAAGGAAATTCCTAAAGAAGGAAAAGATTGGGGAAGATATTAACATTATAATGTATCACAACATAAAATAAGTTAAGGCGCTTCAAGTTCAAGCTTAAGCCTTGAGATGTCCGAAGAAAATGCAGTACATTTTTGCCTTGAAGAAAGGAAAGGAAAGGAAAGGAAAGGATATCCAAGACAGAAAAATGGCCTAGGAGAGACTGTCAATACATACGTGAAATATGTGAAGTATGTTGTAGGATAAGTAGTTGTCCAAGGAATTAGCCAAAGTGCACATAAACTAGCTTGGACCAGGTTATGTGTATGTGTATATATATATGCATGTGTGTGTATATATATACAAAGTAATTTATGTAGAGTAGTTCGAAGTATGTTGTAGGATAAGTAGTCCTCCATAAAGCCTCTTTTTTCGTTGTGGAAGCACCATATCCATTTCGCAATAAGAGCCTTATTTCTTATTTTCAGATCAATAATGCCTAAACCCCCTTCAAGAAGAGGGAGTTAACCAAGTCCCATTTTAAGAGGTGAATGTAGTCCTTTTCTTTATTACCAGCCGACAAGTATTTTCGGGAGAGTCTTTCAATGGTGGCTGCCACCTTGGTTGGCAAGTAGAAAAGAGATAGATAGTATGTGGGAAGATTTGCAAGGGTTGCTTGAATAAGAGTATGCCTACCTCCTTTGAAATTGTGTGAATGGCCCCAACTTTATAATCTTCTCTCTATTTTTTGGATGATAGGCTCCAAAAAGGATAGAGAATTTTGCTTTCCGTATGGGGGAGGCCAAAATAGGAGTTAGGCCATGAGCTCACCTTACATCCAATCTGGAAATAGGAGTTAGGCCATGCGCTCACCTCACCCACTTATTGTGTCCTCCATAAAAGAAAAGAATAACTAGCCCTCCATAATTTTCTTGAGTATCAGTTCACTAAGTGGCTTTGGTCTTTTTGACCACTTCAGTTTTAGCTTTATAATGGAGAGGTATTCTATGGGTTAACGGTATTTTTACCATTTTGGGATGTATGGTTGGTTTAAAAGATAAAGTTTAAAAAATTGTCATTTTCATAGGTTCTTCTTTGGCTTTCATTCTAGTAGTGTTCCATGATGATATGGGAATTTCTTTTGTTAC